AGACCTTTAAAACTCTAACGATCGCCTGTTTAACTAGCCGGATGATCCCGACTTGGAGGATCACAACACATCGGATTTATAATATTAAGTAAAAATAGTTGCTTACCGCTCCGTCGTTGTGACGGTCCAAGCTGAAGATTACATCCGAAACCACCCCACGCTCCCAACCCATTCAATGACTGCATCCTAGAAAAGTGGAAATGAAGTTGTATTCTTTTGACTTTGCGAAATCGCAATGATCCCTACTGTGTGACCGGCAAAAACTTTTGAGAAGCCAGATTGAAGTTCACGAACAATGAAAGGCAAAAAGCGAGATACACTAATGCAAACGCAGAACGCACTGCTCAGAGCAAGCGTAGGCTTCATTACGAAACAAGCACACAGAGATAGTAGATGTTCATGCCACGTCATATCACAAGTACGAGGACTGTGAGCAAACTGATTTGATTGTTGTAGCATAACATGCACTAAGCAGTCCCCATGACGTAATCACATGATATTTCAAAATCAGCACGCAATTCTTCCGACAACCGTCGGCTTTCACATCCCTTCGAGTGCAGCGCGTATTTTTCAAGTGCTAACTCATGTTTTACCATTTGTACTGACAGCGCGTACCAAAATGTTCCCGTATAGAGAGTCAGAATGTAAGTGGAGCAAGAGAACAAGACTGTTGAATCGAGAGAACACTAGAAAAAATTAGGCGTAAGGTTCCACTAGTTGCCCGCATTACGCGACCACACGTACCATTTGTTATTAATACGCGAAAAAAAAATCCACAACAAGCATTGTAATTACTGCTCTTCACAACGGGGGAATCAAGAGAAAAGGCAGGCGCACATATGCTAGATCGGTTAAAAAGTTCTTGACGTATTGCACGAGCGTTTTCCTGCAGTTTTTTTTTCGATGGTTGTTTACGTAACTTGATATATCATGAATGATGACCTACTCTTTCTAGCTTTCCAATAGGGGACTCGTCCGGAAAGGCAGTGCACAGTCTGCTCTAATGCCAATTTGGCCGAAAGGGTCCCTCAAAGTTGCGGGCAGCTTCCACCTTTATTCCTACCCTATTCCTTTAGATTGTTTGTATGATTCATGTATTCCTGTGCTAGATGAAATAAAGGTCTATGAAAAGTATGTTCACCTTGTAAGCAGCTAAGACTAATCCTAGGAAAAGTCTCTAGGAAAAGCGAAGATTGCTCATGGACCCGGGTCTGCCCCTTTTATAGAATGAGCCCTTAAGTTTACAATGAAAAATCTTTCCCTGGTTTCAAATGAAACGGAAAGGCTTGAAATTCTGCGACTATTGCAGGGTCTCATTCAGCAAGGAGTGGGGAGGGGGCATAGCGATTCAAAGCGCGCAACGCTTTCTTTATCAAACGATGGAAAATCCGATTCCCGATCCCAGAAGAGCACACTACAAGCGTTGCGCGCCACGGTTAGGTGTGGAGTAGGAAACTCGCGAAAGTGATGCACGTAGTGGAGACGGAGTCAACCGCTCGCTATGATGATACCAAAAAATTTTCACATCCTTCTTACTAAGGAAACGCCGACACGACCCCTCCAGGGGCGGTATTCAATCCTTCCCCCAGGGGGATATATCCCCCTCCTCTGATTCAATCCTCTGGGGGGACAAAAAAGGGTTGCGTCATAGGACCTAGCATACCTCTGTGTTTCTACCTGCCAGCGCTACTACCCTCCACTGATGAAGCACTCTTTTCCCTGAGGGGTCGCGCTGCTCTAACTGTCTGGCAGGTAGAAACACAGAGGTATGCTAGGTCCTATGACGCAACCCTTTTTTTCCCCCCAGAGGATTGAATCAGAGTAGGGGGATATATCCCCCTGGGGGAAGGATTGAATACCGCCCCAGAAGAGAAAGGTCTGCGCGAAAAGTGGCGAGGAGTGATGGAACGTGAGGTGATTACCTGTTTCATGGTGGGCTGTTTTTTCAAAAAGAATAAATATAAAATACAAAA